CATGCGTAAGAGAGTGCATTTCGGAAAAGAAATTGCATTTTTTATGAAAACAAATTGGCAGCACGGTCTTGCTGTTAGTTTCCTTCGTGATAACTGGAAATGCGTGAAACTGGGGGAATTCCATTTCAGTCTAAATATTTTACTCTTCTTTTCTTCAAGCCCGGCCTAGAGATGAAGGAAAAAGGACGTGACATTCTATATGGAGAGGCTCGATTCGGATAATCTGCTTTCGTGTGGAAATCATCCCCACACCTACTTTTCGGGTTGAATACCTCGACCCGCGTCTTCCAATTTCTTGAATGAAAGCACATGAACGTTGAGAACGAGATCGACTATCTCTTGAAGCCCTGATTCATTCGATTCGGAATTACGTGATCGACTGAACAGATGGATGTGTGTCGTCATTTCAGGGAAAGCTGTTCTTCATCAGCGAAATTATATTAAAAAAAAGGAATTTTCTCTACAATCCTGCATCTTCTTCGGACGACGACGTAACAGTTCGAACAGTTTGTCGCTGATGATAAAAATCGCATTTAATTTGTTTTTCCAAGTTTAGCAATGACAAGGAGTAAATCTTTGAATCGCTATTCCAATTATTCATAACTATAAAGGTAAATTGGAATCAACGTGGAAATAAAATTCGAGATACTGCAATATTTCGCAGTTCCGGACATTGACCTCAATTCGAGCCCGGGTTTTATTAGCAGGTTGGATCGATTCAGGTACAAAATCCTCGGCAGGAGTGACTGCATAGATTCGCATCGCGTTTTGGAAAACGTGTACCAAAAAAAGGGTTTCCACTTTCTTCAATAGAATTTAATGATATAATGTGTTTTTGATGTGCTCGTCAGTTTTTATTATACAAGGAAGAGTTCAGCAGCTGACTTACGAAGAATGTGTTGCTTCCACCCACGATTCCAAGTCCGAGTCCATTTTTATCCTTCTTCAAAACGATGCTGGTTTCCACGAAATCTTCAATTCTCGCCAACGGGACTGAAAGCAAAAATAAGAAGAAAAAAAATTAGAGGAACGGGATAAACAGGCTTTCCTGCTATTGACTGCGCTGAAAGAAATTGAATTGTGTCCAAGCATGAAAGATGAAATCCCTAAGTCGTGGTCTCTCACAAACGTGCGATTTTTGTGTGACCAAAAGTTAAACTTTGGATTATTTTTAGTGCTGTTAATTATAAGAAATGCGGCCGCACATTTTCTCTCAACAGGGTCTTTCTGAACGAAATTTTTCCTAGTTCCCTGTGTTTTTCATCCAAAAATTCCAAAAAATCTCAAATCTGATTTACATTATGAACTTTCCGCTTTATAAACGCTCCCGTTTCGTTTCGCGTGAAGCATTTGAGCTAAAAATTTCGGATATGCTTTTAATTCCTTTTCGAATCAGAAATCTAAAAATAAATCATGAAATCCCCGATTTATAAGTGCTTCCGTTTTGTTTCACAAAAAACCTTGAGCTAATGTTTTCAATGTCTTCTTGAATATCAATTCTAAAACAATTGGGAACTCTCCGAGTTATAAGCGCTTCCGATATGTTTCAGACAAAACATTGACCTAAAATTTTCGTATAAATCTCAATTCCAAGTGTTTCTAAAAAAAAGAAGTACAGTATTGTAAAAATACACAGTCTAACACACAGGAAAGAAACTCAGTTGCTGAACCCACTTTCAATAATGTTCACATCCATCCTTCCTGGCATTCTGTATGCAGTCACGTTCCGAAGCACTTACATATTGTTTGCACAAGTATGGTCGATTATATTGGTACACTCTTTCTGGCGGGAAAACACCGTGTGTATATCGGAGGAAAAGACATATACCTTTTTTTCTCCGGGATATTCCCTTCGAATAATCGCTATAAGTGCTCGGCAAATTCGTCTCTGGTTGGAGAAGCACGAAACATTCCTTTTTGGACCTCACTTGAAGATATTCTTCTTACAGTGCGTGATTCAATCAATCGCTTTTCTTACATGAAGAAAAGGCAAACTTTTTTGACGCATACATCGTAAAATGTGAAGCAGGTCAGCTTTTGCTCGGGATTTTAAAAAGCACGAAACACACGGCGAGGTCTCGACGAAGTTAGCTTCTAGGGAAGAATTCATCACAGGTATCAAGGGATTCTGAAAGTATTCACGTTCATAAGTTATTAAACTTTTTGATATTGATCCAACGGAGTCCCAACCATTACAAACAAAATTTCACTCGCATAACCCCATCACCTGGCAACACTTCAGTGCCAGTGCTGTTCGACATAATCTCCGCCGATTTCAATTTACTATATATTTTTTTTCATGCAACAAATCCAACGATCAAAACATTGCCAAAAATCGAGTTCCGATATACAGTAGTTAATTAATCTGAAATTCGAAGCGTGAATGAGGCTGTTCTCATAATCAATTCATTTCAGGTCGTTCTTTAACGTCAGGAACTGCCAGAATTGACAGGGTGCCTACAATCAACTAACAGAACTCGATTTACGACACGTCTATTTGTATTGTTGGGTATATGGCATGAAAACATGCATTGAAATCAGCGGAGTATGTTGAACAGCGCTGAATTGTTGCCAACCAATGCGGCTATGCGAGTAGCATATTTTTGGAATCGTTGAAACTCCGTTGGATTTATTTCAAAAATTCGAAAAATTCACGAACCAACCCTCGTATAAACGCTTTTTTTTGCATCTCTCTTTCGGCACAATGCCCGGACTTTTCACACGCGGAAAGCTCTCCAGCAATCCTAGAACCGAGACCACAATATTTCTCAAGTTAAGAGCATTTCTCTGGAGAAAGCACGAAGAAGTGCCTTTTTCCCCCCCCCCCGACTCCGCAGAATGATGAATAAGCAAGTCACGTGGGCGAGCTGTCAAGTTTCCCTCCCCCATGGAGGGTTAATCCCCGCAGGTCTGCGAATAACGTGATGCATTCTTGTGCCTAATTCCGTCGCAACAACGACCTTGAGTTTTCTGGGGAAAATTTCGCATTGCGGAGGAGTCTTTGTTGCTTGCTGCGGAAAATCCGCAGGTAAACTTCAAGCAGCGCTGGACGATCGATATAGGCGGGTTTGCGAATGGATTGCGTGTCACCGTTGGTCGTTTTTGGCCATTTTTCATGATAATGGCAGAGCATGTAAAGGTGGACTCTATCCACAACGAAATTCAAGGGACCAACAAAAATTTCGTCATACAGATAATTTGGTGGTAAAGTATCCCTATAACATGGGAAAAGAATCCACCTATGAAAACAAAAACAAAAAATCACTTTACAAAGAAAATCTTTTTAGACAAGATCATTGTAAGAGAGAGAGAGTCCACCTATACTACAACCGCATTGTACAAATAAGTTGACCACATTGGAAATTTCACACAAAAAAAAACAACGGAGTATCACCGATTCGATCCAACAAATCACTGCACAATTTTTACTGCTAACGTCAAAAATGATCAGGAAACTTAAGATATATTATTACAAAAATGAGACCCACAATAAAAAATTAAATATTTATATTTGTATATATTGTATTTCAACTGTCCATAAAAAGTAGAAAACTGAATTAAAACGACAGAGTTGTTGCTACAAAGCAAACAAAGTTGCATGTCGTTCAGCGCGAACTCGACTTGTCGGAAAAAAATGGTATTTGTCTTTTAAAAATAATTTATTCTCGCTCTAACTTCATCACATTCTTTGGGATATAATTTCTCAAATTACTATACACTTTGCAGATCGGAAGGAAACGGTTAAGTATACAGATAACAAAACTCATAAGTACGTAAAATTGACCATTTCAACCTGAATTTCGATATTTTCATGCTTTATTTTATTAAACACAATAAAGTTGTCAGAAAATCGATTTCAATTTTGGGGGGAGGGGATGGGAGTTAGTTTGCGAAATTAGTATTCCAGAAAATCTAATATTCTAATGCATCAATAACCGCCACCGGCATTCCACTTTCAATCGGATTTGATTGAGCTGACAATTGCCTTTCACTGAGCGGAAAATGACGCTGGGTTCGAATTTAATACCTTGCTGATATTCAATGGAACTGATGTAGAGGATCAGGATAATGTGCTAGAAATAGAATATTTTTCCCTCATATGCTGTGCATATCGTAGGAAACCCTCTAGGCTGAGACTGGGAAAATAATTATGTAATATATTTTATATAAAGGATTTATACGGCCTCCGAGTTTTCCTTTCAAATGCTTCAAAAAGCACAGGCTCTCGTTTTTACGATGAGGATCATGAATAGGTCAAAAGTGCATACCTCATATACATTCATGATATTTGCAAATAAAACGCATACTTTAATTTGTGACTGTCATTAACTAATACATTCTGGCTTCTGTGCTAATTTTAGAAAATTTGAGAGATTTTTGCGGCGATCTAGAAGAGTTTCTTCGATAAATTACAGATCACAATCATAGGATTTCCTGTTGGATCGATGCAAACTTGACGCAGAAACCTAAACGTTTGACTTGAGAGAACATGAGCAAAACATGCTTCAATAATTACATCACCAGTGTTTTTACTGCTTTAAAATGTTGGCTGTTCATTGGAGTCTTCTTCTTCCTAATCGTTGTCTCACAATTGATCCTTTTGATAACTTAATTGGATGGCAGAGATTTTATCCAAACCAATGAATAACTTCTGTCTCTCTCTAAAAACTAACAATTTGAGTACATTTAAAAATGAAGAATCGCCAAAAGTTATACGTCACAGTACTATGATCTTTTTTTATCCATTCTCGTATCCTTTTTCTAAGAAATTTTGGATTGCAGGTTCAATCCATTGCATCTAAGGGGGTTACGCTCAAAAAGTTCCATACAGACACTCAAGAATGGGTTTATATATTGGAAATTAAATAAAAATTTGAAATTGTTCCGATTCTTTGTTTTTTTGTGTGTGAGAAATCAAATGATTTTTCATAAAAGTCTATGGGAAATCATGATTTGCCCAATAAAAGAACAATTCGTTCAACGAACGTAGTGCTTGCATCTTACGTTGTACAAGGTACCACTTTGTGAGCAATATCCTTTCATATTTATAAAATTAGTACATTTTATCAATGCATTCGATCGATTCTTACGAGAAAATTTGAAGGTGTGAAGGTATGCTGAATCCTATTCTATTTAAAAATGGAACACCTATACATATAAGCGCAATTTCGTTCGGTGCTCATTAAATTTTATAATTAATGGTAAATCAATGCCATGATTGACTATCGTTGAAGATATGGTTCGAGGTGTCAGAGTTCTGCTTTTAAAACATGGTGGTTGATTCGAAATGCTTTGGAGTCCTCCCGTTAGATCATGAAATGTGAAAGCATTACAGGATTTTTAAATATTTCCTTGTAATTACAGAATACTTCCTTTCATCGACGGTCTGTGCCATGATGCCGATTTCCATTCTGTAAATGTAATTTGTTTTCCTCTCGTATTGTATTCCTTACATCCCTTCAAGTCCAAATAACTGCCTTCATCCCACTTTGAAGCCCAAAATAAAATTAAATAAATAAACTACTCATGATGGGCATTTTGAAAATTAAATAAGCTTCATTTTAAATTTTGAAGCGTGAACATTAGCGGGGAGGGAAGCATGAGTTACTCCTACGCGTTGAGAAGCACTTGCAGCACTTTACCTGGTGGCGAGAGGAATTGCTGACAGCCACTTTCAGCTGCCAGCGCTTCTGGTGCTTGCATGAATGAGTCTTGCCAGTAAATACTGAATGTAACTTGATATCGAATTCCAGGAAAAAGTAACAGCACACACACACACACGCCGCTCCGAAAAGAACTATAGAAACTGAGTGTCTATAGGACTCTAGGGGCTAGAAAGAGCCAGATCCAGACTCGGCGGTTGCTCGACTCGCACTGATGTGTGCCCAACACGCGGGCAATGAGGCCACCAAGTTTCCGTCTTCTTCTTCATTCCTCGTAATTCTGTCCCGCCAAGTACTGTATATAGCTAATGCCAGTCTACTGTGTTGCAATAAATGAACTTCATTAAGAAGCTTGAATGTTTGATTGGAAGGATAGTGAAGAAGACCTGGTTCAATATAGGGAATTCCCGGGTTTCGTTGGGGTATCGCGAAGTTCTCAATGATGCCTCCCATAATACCCGAAATAAAAATGTGTTTCCGAAGCGTTCTGAAGTGTGCCTGATACCAATCGCAGTCGACAAATTTTTCTTTTTTTTACCCGAAATTGTCTAAAAATATATCAATTGGATTATAATTTTTGTCCGTAGACTTCTTCACCGGGTTCTTCGCCCATGTGTAAAAAGTCTAAAAACACATTTTTGTATCTAAAACACGAGACCTTGAAGCATAACAAAATGATACTAATATAGCCATACGTGTGCCAAGCAATAGAATATAAATTTTCAATCAAATCGGATCAGGCGTGAGCCTTTTTGAAAATAATTTTCTGACTTGGAAAGAACTGGGAAAAATATATACTGTTAATGTTTGCCAGGGATGGTTAATTTCCTAGTACATGAAAAAATGCTTTCAAGATGTTTGAAATTCTTTGTCTAGCTCTCCCAAAAATATTTTGTCAACTTGATTCATGTCTTGTCTCTCTTTCTGATAATTTGAAGAATATAAATATTCAAAATAACGATCGTACAATTTTTGGTTTTTAAATTTACTTTTTCACTTACAAACCTCCATTGTAAGTTGCAGAGTTGATGATTCAGCAAATTATAAATTGGAATAAATTTACTGAGACCGTAATCGGCATTTTGAACGTTGCCAAGAATAATCCTAGAAAATATATTCAGCTACATATACAAATTCAAGCGTGACTAGTGAACAGGCTACTGATATTTCTGCAATATCAACAACAGCGCGTGTGAAAAGTATTTGTGCTGTACCGAAGACAAACATTTCCCCAAAAAATCTTTAAAATGATCTGATGATCAGAAAGACTCTAATATTGCTCCGAATTCCAGATTTAAACCTCGAAGAAGTTGGGTTGTAAAGCAGAAATCAATCACCAAGCGCAGTGTTTGTCGTTTTTCTATAAACGAAGTAAAAAAAAATATATTTCTTGAGAATGTACTTGAAATGGGTATTTCGCCGACGAATGCACAATCAACCCCTGTGGAGCATGTGAAATCATTCAAACTTTTCGGTTGGGTTTTCAAAAAAATATCCTGCATGAATTACAGTGTATATGGGTCATGAAACGGGATGAAATTCCCTCGAGACCTCTATCCTCCAAAGAGCCAAATATCGAAAATCGATTTCCCGGGTCG